CAGGACAGCCGCTCTGTGTGAGCGCAGACAGGACAACACCGGCGTGAGTGCTCAGCCACAGGTCCTCCCACGTCACCCGTGAGGGAGACGAGCCCTGGCTTCCCGAGAGGCCCGTGTCAGCACACGGTGCCTGACAATGGACATAGGCAGCGAGCCCACTGGGCCCTGGGCAGCTTCCTGAAGGTTCTACAGAACAGAAAACCCGCTCAGCTAGGAAAGCTGACAGAGGCCGTGGCCGCTGGGCCGGGCATGGTGCTCAGAGCTGGCATGATCACCACCAGCCTAGAAAGTGGGCACTTATGACGCCCACTGTGGAGATGAAGAAAAGGATGCCCGGAGAGAGCCCGGCCCCAGGCAGAGGCTGCCATCGTGGGCACAGACGTGCATCCCGTCCCCTGGTCATCAACCTGCCTGGGGCGACGAGGTGCCCCCTTGTTCCCCAGCTGACATAAGACACGGCCACCACGGGGCAGACAGGCTGCTGGGCGACAACCCAGGATCAGCCCAGGTGTGAGTGTGAGGGGTGGTAGGGGACAGGAGGCACAGGACCGAGGGGACGGCCAGGAGCCTCCGGGAAGCTTCACCCGCATTCACCGCACAGCTCTGTGCACCAAGTGACATTATCTGACACGCGTTTCAAAAGGATTCCTCCTGCCACTGTGGGACCCAGGTGCAGGCAATCACACACTCCCCCTGCACTGACACCCTCACACACTCACACAGCCTGCACTCAGTGCCTGCTATGGGCCATGGGTCCACGCGCTGGCCAGAATCACAGGGGTGAATTATTAGCCCAGATACAGCCTCCCATTCTAATGAGACAAGTTGAACAAATTAGCATAAAATGAAGATAAACTTAATTACATAACACAAAATCTAAGGGGAAGCCTAATTTAGACAGAAGTCAGCAAGGTCATCTGAAAAATTTAAACTCAGCCAAGAATTGAACAGAGCCAGTGCTAACAGGGCAGACGTGCCAAGGAAGGTGTGTGCAACGTCAGGACGGGGACGGGCATCCAGAAGTAGAGGCCAATTCGGCAGAAGCAGGAGAAACTGGAGGCGGCTGGAAGGGCGGGGGGGCCGGAACTCCCGGGGCTCTGCAGACTCAGGTAAGGGGTCCACATTCACTCTGAGAGGCCGGAAGTCACAAAAGGGCTTGGGTGAAGAGCACTACAACTGGGTTACATTTTAACAAGAATCCCTCAGACAGCTTAGAGGAAGGTAGGTGGAAAACAATGACCAATTCTGGGCATCTGAAGGAAAAAGTGTGAGTGACAGAAGAGGGGTGCAGGTTTATGAGTACGTGGGGAGCAGAGGGCTTCACAGTCGTGAAGGAGGCGCACACGCTGCCCGGGCCCTGGGGGATGGGACTCGGGCGTCGGGGCTCGGGCCTGCGCACAGGTGGCTGACGCCATCCATCTGGGGCGTGGGGCCTGGGTCTGACGCCTCGTTCACTAAACACACACCAAGCCAGGGCCTCTGCTGGACACGGGAAGTAGGCCGTGAACGTCCACAGTCCGGACCTCCAGCGGCTCTGTCCCCTGAGGAGAGGGACAGGGTACGGCACGATGGCAGGAGAGAACCAAGGCAAGATGAGATCACTTCTACCCGTGATCGGGGCGATAGGGGTCTTCACACTCAACGGCGTCCTTCCAGCTCCAGCCAGGGCTCCCAAAGGCATCACCTTCCTCTCCAAAGAGGAGGGCAGGGGAGCAGGAGCGCCGGATCCCGGAGCAGAGCTGGGAGCCAGGCCGCACGGCTCCCCACACCCAGGGCACTGGCGGGCTCGCCCTCAGAGAGCATCTCACACCAGCCGCTGGGCGCCAGGCTGAAACGCCACATGGGGTGGAGGGCAGGGTGACAGACAGCCCAGAGTCCCGCCAGGAAGTGGCCAGACCCGGAGCTATCATCCACAGCACAGACCAGCCAGGCCAAGTCACCGAGCGGCCCCAGCAAGGACGGGAGTCCGTCCCCAGGCCCTGTGCCCCGTGTATCCAGCTGCGCTGGGTCCCTGGACAGCCTGGGGATGGCGGCTGGATGCCAAAGAAGGCTAGAGGCTGAGTTTCGCACCGAGCGCAGTCGCACCACACCTCACCTTCTGAGAGCCGTCAGGCAGGCACCTTCTGCAGAAGAGGTGAAGCACAGCGCTCTTTCGGGGGTACCTAAGTTTCGCCCCTGCTCCCAGGGCAGCGGCACCAGCACTCAGAGGGAAACCAGGGAGACAAGAGGCCCCGAGTCACACAGAAAGACCGCCGGCCTACTGCGGGCCGCGAGGACTACTTCCTGAGGCAGTCAGTCCATTCTTAAGCCAATCCCAAAAAAGAGATGGGACGGCTGACCCCACATCCATGGCCAAAGTGACAGTGTGGTCGGGGACCTCAGACGGGAGCTGTTTTTTGCTCATGGATCTCTGGATACAGAGGCGGATATTCCTGCTTCTGGTCAGAGTGGATAATTTGAGAAAGTACCTCACAGTTTGGCGGGACAAAAATGTAGACAAGTTTCCTTGCCCCTAATAGTTCATTCTGTTTCAAATTCAAAGTAAAATGAAGAAGACAGCCTGGAAAAATGTTAAAGCTTTCATTTTAAATCACTTTTAATGCCCGTTTCATCTGACAGAAGCTTTGAAAGCAAAAGGCAATCTTTATCATTTGAGGTTTTTAAACTAAATTGATGATTATGTCCAACATAACCAGACGTTTCTAAAAGCCAATTTTCAAAGTGACACGAGCCCCCCAAATGAGAAAACCCTCCTCCTGGCTACTAATCAGTTACTAACACGCTGTCTGCAGGGGATGTGGCTGCAGTGGGTAAGCAGAAAGCCACACGGCCCCTGGCAGGTCAGGACGTGCACAGCGCCCAGGGGCTCCCGCCGCTGTCACCTGCCTCTCAGCCTGTCCCTAAGCCCTTGCTCACTGGAGAAGCCGCCCTCACGCAGCTGTCCGCCATCCTAGAGTGATTCAAGTGGAAGTGGGACGAGCTTAAACCCGTCGTGGTAACCCCTCCCTCTGTCGGCATATGACCCCGCTTGGGCCAGTGAGGCGAGGGGGACTCTGCTGGCAGTGGGGTCCTCAGAGGATTCCTTGTTCCAAAAAGGAGACCCAAGACGGCAGCCTCCCCTGCCTGCAGATGTGACTCCCAGAACCCAGGCAGCTGCCCTGCCTGAGAACCAGAGAATGGCAGAAGATGACACGAAAAAGCCCAGGTGCGGTTTTATAAGAAGTACCCGTTTCACTTTCCATAGTTTCAGTTACTCATGGTCAATGGCAGTCTGAAAATATTAAATGGAAAATTCCAGAAATAAACAATTCCTAAGGTTTAAATGTCATGCCGTTCTGATATCTTGCACCCGCCCGCTCTGTGCTGCACAAGACGTGAATCGTCCCGCGTCCACCGTCTCCACGCTGTAGACACTCCCGCCCGTTAGTCACTTAGTCCTCGTCAGTTATCAGATCTGCTGTCCCTGATCTCACAGGGCTTGTGCTCAAGTCACCCTGATTTCGTTCATAATGGCCCCAGAGCCATTCACATAACTCTCATTACAGGGCGTGGTTATACTGATCCTATTTTGTTGTTATTGTTACTCTCTCACTGTGCCTGGTTTATAAATTAAACTTTATCAAAGGTGTGCACATGTAGGAAAACACACAGTATATATAGGGTTTGGTGCCACCCATGGTTTCAGGCATCTGCTGGGGGTCTTGGAATGTCTCCCCCAAGGATAAGGGGGACCACTGTATTTGGTCTTTGTCCCATTCCTGGACCAGGACTCCTAAAGCCCTTGGGGTACCCTAGTGGAGAGGAGCTTCTCTTGCTGTTCATTACAAGCCCCTTCCCAGCACACCTGCGTTTGTGCTCACGAGATAACTCCTGGTAGGTCACCAGGCAGCTTCGGGATGGGGGCTGGATGCCAGAGGAACCAACCATGTGATGAGAGGGTTGGGGTTTTCAGCTCCACCCCAACCTCCAGGGAGGGGACACAGGCTAGAGGTTGAGTTAATCACCAATAGCCAATGAGTTAATCAAGCATGGGACCTCCATGAAAAGCCCTAATCAGGTGCAGTGGGCTTCCCAGCTGATGGGGACACCTGGAGGTGCTAGGAAGGCGGTGTGCCCACAGGGCACGGGGAAGCTCTGCCCGCCACCCCTCACCGAGAGCCTCTCCCATCTGCTGCACGGATCGCATTCTTTATAATAAATCCATAATCCTAAGTAAAGCACTTTCCTGAGTTCTGTGAGTCATTGTAGCAAATATTCAAACAGGGGTGGGGGAGTGAGGGAACCCCTGAACGTGTGGTCTGTCAGAAGTGCGGGTAACCTGAGGACCCGACACGTGCGACTGGAGTTCACGCGGTGCTGGCCGTAGGGACTGGGCCATCCACCTGTGGGGCCTGTGTGGACTCGGGCAGTTAGTGTCAGAACTGAACTGAGGTGCAGGACCCCGGCTGGTGTTGGAGGCTGGAGAGGCAATGCTGGAGCGCCGGGCACACTCGGTGTCCGAGCAGAAAGGCGCCAGCGGGCCCCGGAAGAAGCCAGCAGCTGCCTGCCTCTGGACCTCCCGCTCGGGAGGGAAACAGCCTCCTCACTGCTGAAGCCAAGCGCGGTTCTGCCCGTCTCTGCGCACCTTCCCTGAGTGCACAGTCCACATACACAACACAGACACTTGGCCCAGGCCAGCTTCCCACGCCCTCCCAGGGTCACTGGGGCCCACACCACTGACAGGACGCAATGCTCCTGATGCGGGCACACGTCCTCTCAGGCCCCGCGCACCAGGAAGTCGGCCATCTGGGATCCAGCAGTTACTTGGAACGCTGCTGGGATAACAGCATCAGGCCGCCTCGACTGAGTCTCACAGCCATGGGGCAGAAACAGGGGGCACCATGGCTGAGGCTGACTGGGTGGGAAGCACAGCTGTTCCTGACCCCAGCAGGGGGCACACACTCACCGACCCCAGCTTTCCAAGAAGACGCGTCCCCATGCCACATGGGACCCGGGCCTACCTGCTGGCAAGGGAGCTGTTCCTGTCCTTCAGGGCCAGTTCTCGCTGCTGCAGCTCAACAATGAACCTGGAGAGGTCTTCTGGGGTCCTGTGGGACAAGAACACACACTCAGCACCAGTGGTTTCCTGGAGGGGGACCTGGATGTACACACTGGGGGGGGGGGCACCAAAAGCCAGGCCGGCAGCTGATGACTCACAGACCCGGGCCAGGTGCCAGGGCCCTGTCCCGCAGCGCAGGGTCAAGCCTCAGCCCGCCACCAGCTACGTCACACTGGGGAAACGGCTTCTACAAGCCTTGGTCTTATTTCTCCTATAAAAATCGGGCGGATACATGACAGTGCCTGTCACTATGCAGACGCTATGGAAGGTCGTTTGAAAGCACCTGCCAGGCAGCTGGCGTCGAGGTGCTCGGTGCACGTCAGCTTCCTTCACAGCCCACGTAAACAACAGCACAAACAGTCCCAGTGACCATAACAGGTGCCCATATGTATAACGCTTTGTAACTTTTAAAACTGTTTTAGATGATCTCAGTTCACGCTCAGAGCAGCCCTGTTATCCACAGTTTCCATTTCACAAATGAGGGAACTGAGACTCAGTGGCTGGCTCGAGGTCCACTCTGCCTTGAGCAGCGCTGATCCGTAATTTCAAGCCCACCTTCTGACTCGACACCGTAGCTTGAGAGAACATGCATCAGGACAGCGCTCAGCGGAGAGAACATTCCCAGACGCACAGCATTGGGAGGGCAATCAAATGGCTCCCCGGCACGGTGGCCAGGTGGGCGAGCTCGAGGCCTGAGGCCCAGCCCCAAGGACTGAGGCCAGCGCCGTGCAGGGGCAACTCCTATTCAGCCACTCCATCACCGAACCAGAGATTTCTACCCAAACTCCTCCCTAAATACAAGCCAGCTCTGCTGATGAGAAAATGGCTACGCTGAAAGATGCTCATCAGTAAGAGGCTTTTTGAGAAGCTCAGCTGCAGCTGGGGGTTGAACCAGCCTTGAATGCCAGTTCCCATTCTTTTCAGAGCCCCCCAAAGTTTCAACATCAGGGAGTTAAAACTACTAGTAGAGGGCCGGCCGAGTGGCGCGATGGTTAAGAACTCGCTTAGGATGCCAGAGGGCCCCGGTTCGGATCCCACATATGAGGGCCAGTGACACTGCCCTCCGCAGCTAAGATGCTGAACAACAGCTCAACCTGGAGCTGGGCTGCCATGAGTCGCCGGCGACGGCGTGGGCTGCAGTCCCTGTGGCAGTGGATTGCCATGGGCTACCGTGTGTGGCCAGCAGCCAGCGTGAGCGGCCAGCAGCCGCAGTGAGCGGCCGTCCAGAAGCCGGCGACTGATCTGCCTCGCCAGAGAAGAGCGCAATGATGGTGCCAACTTGGGCCAGTGAAGCAACATCCTCCACAACTAGATTGAAGAACAAAACGACAGCAACTTGTCTGTTCCCCTTTCCCCAATTCCCCAGCACTGTTCCCATCCCCCCAATTCCCCAATAAAAATCTTAAAAAAAAAAAAAACTACTAGTAGAAAAATTAACTAAGCAAAATAAGTAAATCCTTCCAAGACAAGACATTATTTTCTTCAGAAACATTTTAAAGAGATACTTAAGTTGCTTTGCATTCTTCTTAGTCAAAGGGGTACATAAACTATTAGTAAAGCAATGGGAAGAGTTCATTTCAAACAAATACACAAAGCGTCTCGCATGCCCACATCTGCAAGGCCCCCCAGCTCCCGTGGGCACACGACCAGCCAAAGTTGTGATGGGAAAGTGTGACCATGACCGCCCCCTTCCTCGTGGCGAGGCCGCATCTGCGCAGACTTGAAACAGTGGGAAGGGCCCACGGGGGCACCTGTCAGACAGGCAACCACAAGATCTCTAGGGGGTTCGCACCAGCTGAGATGGTGGCTTTCCCTCCTGGAACCCTCCTGGAATCTGGAGAGCAGTCAGCAGAGTCAGGAGCACGTGGTACCAATTTAAAAACAAGAGTCTTGCCCTGAGGTACAAATTAGGCCTACAAAGCTGGGAGCCAGACTCACTGTAAACCACAGCTCTCCAATTTCCTTTGAAGTAAAGATCATTTGAAATGCAACAATTTAATAATGAGGGGGAAATTGGGAACTGTTCAAATGAAGAAAAAAATGAACTAATATGCTATGCTTCCGAAATGCTCTCCTCCCTAATGGCTCGGGGCGCCTGCATCTTCTCGTGACGCCTGCCCAGGTCAGTGCACACAGGAGGCCGCGGCGCTGCCCGCCTTCAGCACCGCCGGGTCTCTCACACCCTTCAGCTTAATGCTTCACACAGAGGCCAGCTGACGCCTGAACACTCTGGAACTCTGAGTGGCCACAGCGGAATAAAGCAAGCCGGAAACCAGCTTCCCATGCTCCCCCGGACCAGCCCTGAGCAGAGAACTGCAGACACACACACAGACCCGTGGTTTCACAGCGTGTGACTAAGGGGATGGGGTGGGGGCGTGACTAGAACAGTGGAAGTGACCTACAGACACTTTGCAGCAGAACCCTCTGGAATAACACAGCCGCCCATCCACCCACCTCTCAACCTGCTGAATCTAAACCACTGCGGTGTGCTCGGGACCTGCCAACAGGTGACTCCTAGGCACCACTCAGAGTCACTGATCATTTGCAGAAAAAACAAGGGAGCTCTAAGCAGTAAATACCACACAACATGCAGGGAAGATCACCCAAAAACGTCTCTGTGCCATCAAGAACACCACCTACTGTATGTGTGACAAAGAAAACATTCTCTGAGGTTCTGTCAATTCAGCAGACAAATATTAGGTTTCAGAATTTGGTCCAGATCTAAAAGAATCCCAGAAGACAGAGCAGGGTGATTTGATTTGCCTACAGACGTCATGGCAAGAACTCTGCAAACTAACACTTAACATCAAGTAACTGCTTTGGCTACTATGCAAGAAAAGCTAGGGCCAGCAGAGTGGATCAGCTGGTCAAGAGCGTGAGCTCTGAGCAACAGGGTCGCCAGTACGATTCCCACATGGGCCAGTGAGCTGCACCCGAGCTGAGCTGCTGCTGAGCTGCCAACAGGTGGCAGGACATGCTCCTAACAACAAGGTTGCCGGTTTGACTCCCACATGGGATGGTGGGCTATGCCCAACCGCAACTAAGATTGAACTTGGCACCTTGAGCTGAGCGGCCGCGAGCTAACGACGGGCAGCTGGATGGTGACTGAACTTGGAGCTGAGCTAGCTGCGCCCTCCACAACTAAGATTGAAGGACAGCAACTTGGCTGTTCCCCTTCCCCAACTCCACAACACTGTCCCCCTCCCCCAATTCCCCAATTAAAAAAATTTAAAAAAGAAATCTAAACAACAAAAGAAAAGAGAGGTTACCAGACTTTTTGCCAATTTGCTAAGTAATGGAACATCTTCCGAAGACAATAAATAATACAACACAAAATGCAATACAAAGAATACAAATAAATAATGAAAACGGCATGGCCAGGCTGCTGCGCTGCACGGCCCAGTGGGTGCACTTCCACTGTTCACAAAGGTCATTCCTCAGAGATGGAGTCACCATGTGACAAAGTCACTGCACCCTGGAGATGGGCGCTACTCCCAGCACTTGACACGGATTACGCAGTTTAACCTTTTCACCTGCCTTATGAGGTAGAAAGTGTTAGGGCCCCAACTTACAGACGGGGAAGTTGAGGCACAGAAGGGTCAGGCAGCGTGCCCAGTGTGCAGTGAGCAGCTGGGAGAGCCAGGACCCAAACCCAGATGGCCAGGCTCTGAGGCCATGCTGTCATGTCCAACAAGCTCAAACCCATGTCAAACTATGCCAGCCACACAATGCCATTAAAATGTAAGTGACATGAAAAAATATTTCTAAATGCTAACACATTTGGCTCTTTTTAACAACACACACACACACACACACACACACACGCTGATTAAAGCAAAATCAGCAAAAATGGTTAAGTGAAACTAGATTAAAAATATATCTGCATAGAAATAAGAACTGGAAGAAAATGTTTACTAACAAACAAGAGTCACATTACAGTTACAGAACTTCTGGTATTTTTTCAGTTTTTAAAAAGTCTATAATTTTGTTGTGAGAACTTTTTTCAACAACAGTTTCCTGAAAACTGTATTTTCTAGGTGTGGAAACTGGGGGCCACAGCGACCAATTCTGACAGGGTGACACCACATCATGCTATGTGGCTGACAGAGGAGCTTTGCAGGCTGTTCCAACAAGGAGCCCCCAACTGCCAAGGCCCGCAGCCGCAGGGAGACCAGCTCAGGGACACCCTGGGACCGACGGGCCTGCTCTGGCCTCGTTCTGTTCAGGCAGCACAAGTGTGGGGAGCTACTCATGGCCTCCCTGGCTTGAGGACAAAGGTCACCGGCGCCCAGGCCATTCCAGGGGCCCTGCCCTAGGCGGGGATGAGGCAGACGTGTGCGCATGTGTACGGATGTTGTACGTCACGTGCTGTGTGCTTCTCAATGCCACGCTCTCCAAGTCACACAGGCTGAGGCTGACACGGGAGGGGAGAGCATCCCCAGAGGCACAGCGAGATGGCCGCTCTTCAGATCAAGGTCAGTGCGAGGTTCCGAGCGGGACAGGCGACCACATATGGGCAAGGGGAGGCCCGAGGGAGCCAAAAAGCCGGGTGCTGATTTCTGGGCCACAAGTAGGGAGTTCACTTACTCAGACCTCAGGGAGCACCTGGCCCCGTAGGCAGGGCCTCGGCCAGCATGACGAGTGCCCAAGTCCTGTTCTCCAAAGCTCACCTCCCCACCCCACCCCCGGAAGAGAGGGTGAGCTGGGCTGTCCCATGGGCGCTTGGGAAGGGTTCAGGTACAACCACCCGCTTCCATCTACGTACCCAAAGCTGCACCTACGACTTCTCACTTCTAGGTACAAAGAAGATAAGTCAAAGATACGTAAGTGTAAAGAACAATCTAGAAAGATTTACCCCAAATTGATACCGACAAGCACCTCCAGGTCAAGGCTCAGACTGAGGGCGACAATCAAAAGGATCTTTAATTTCATGGGCAACATTTGAACTGGTTACGATGCGCAGTCATGTACTACATGTGCAAGTACAAA